TAGAATGTGATAACATGCAATAAATACAAAAAGCCCGGGATCGAACCCGGGTTCCTGCATCGTAAGCACATAGTTTAAACCACTAGACCAGGGGTTCCCAAAATGTTTAGCCCGCGACCCCCATCATAAATGCCCTGCTAACCCGCGAGCATGTATTTCCTTGATACGGAGTAACGCTTTCTAGAGACTCACGCCACTACCGAGCTGCACTGTCCAGCCCAAAAAAGGAGGCTTGCATATTTTTACTCATGTAGTGACACAGTGATGGGCTTGGTGGGCTCCCTCCTCAGCAGAAGTGGAGCGCATTTCCTGCGGCTCGCCCTCTCTGTTCTTGTACCGCGGTAAAGTGGGCCGGCTTTCCGGAGTCAGCGGTAAAGAGGTCCGCACATTAAAAGCGGGCGGCCGCTTTCTGCTGTTACTTTATGCGGTTCATCCCCGCGGCGTCTCTTTCCAAAGTTACTGTCAGTAAAGGCATAAACCGGCCACCCGCTTTTAATGTGCGGACCTCTTTACCTTTGACTCCGAAAAGCCGGGCCTCTTTAACGCGCTGTTCTACCGCTGTCCTCCCTCCCTCCCTCCTCTGCCCTCTCTCCCTCCCCTGCCCTCTCTCCCTCCTCTGCCCTCTCTCCCTCCGCTGCCCTCCCTTCCTCCGCTGCCCTCTCTCCCTCTCTTCGCACCATCAGCCTGACCCCTGATACAAGTGACTTTTCTCCCCCTCCGGGTTTTTCTGTTGTGGAAATTTAAAGCAGTATTATTTATTTGTAGCCTCCAAACACCTTTAGTTTTAGCAAACAACAGCAGGACACGCTTTGTCGCTGCGCATGATGTGAGCTGTGTTACGTGATGATTTTGATTGACGCTGCAATGACTGGGACAAAATTACTAACGTTATAAAAATATATTATAGTCTTTTTTTGTGTGTGGAAATCATCTTGCGACCCCCCCAGGGGTTCCCGCGACCCCCGGGGGGTCGGGACCCCCACTTTGGGAACCACTGCACTAGACCACCGATTCACACGATGTAGCACTGTGAAGAACGCACTCAAACTAGAAAATTCTGCATCACACGTGAACTTTTATCAGCTGTCTCAATTGTTCAAAGGCATCCCAAGGGCGTAGGTTTGCGTGGGGACCATGGGGACATGTCCCCACCAATATTTGGTGAGGACTAGTCCCCACCAAAATGACATGATGTCCCGTGACCCGGACGGTCCGGGACACATGTCTTCCGTTTGTGCACACGTCGCGCCTCCTCCTCGCCTCCAGAGCAACAGCAGCAGCAGCAGCAGCACGTGACCCGTTCCGTTCTCTGCAGTGATTGGCTGAATGGCTGTCTTCTTCAGCGCCAAAATGAAGCACTGAGCGACTGTTTAATTTTTAAAAGTTAGCCAGCGTGAAGCAAGTGTTTTTTTTCGTTCCCTGAGCGTTGTAGCACGCGAGTAATCAGAGGAAAGTACTGTAGATCTATTACCATTCAAAGTACTTACTTTATTTCTAATCTGTCAGCGCACTGTTTAATGTTCCGAGGAGCTCACACGGCACAGAGACAGAACAGAACTGGCTACAATAAAGAAACAGGTTGGTTGAAAGGCTGAAAAAATACTTATTGTGCTCTTACTATCCAAAATGTATAAGTGGGTGTGTTGTGTGAATCAGGATAAACTAGGGATGAAAATATTCCACGGATCCACGATTTACAACCTTTATCTGCTGATAATGTAATTTCTGTGAAATGTGTGACAGCGGGCACTTGCTGGTATTTGCTCTAAGCAGATTCAAGCGATGCACTCGAATGTGCACGTCCTGGTGCAGCTGCTGCCGCTTTGTAATGACAGCCGCGGCGCTCAGTGAAAGCACAGCTCTAACATGGTACCGAGCTCGGACCATATGCAGACAGAACCATGTTGCAAGTGCGGGTCTCCCTCGTATCTCCCCCGTTTCTCCCCTGTGTCTCTGACATGTCTCTCCCCTGACTCTTCCCAAAGCGCAACCAGCGCTCCCGAAATTAAAGCTTGGATACGTAAATTTTCCATTGCGTTAACGATGCATGCTGGTTGTGCGCAAAACACACCACAACAGGTCATTTAAGTTTTTATTTTGCATACTTGAGAGCCCTGTGAGTCATTACTTGCCTTTTTGGGTAGAGAGTGGAATAAAAAAAAAGAAAATATAGAAAAATCCACACTGTTACTTATTGCCAAACTCTTGTTAACTCATTGTATTGAGAAATACTATGTAACTTTTGACATTGGCCAAGTTATATAAATGATTCTGCAGTTCATGTATATGAATGTCTGTTTTTGATTGTCTATACCTTCTTATATAATTTAGAAAAAATTCCACCTCCACAAAAAAAGATAAAGAGCTTTTTTAACAGTTGGAAAGTAAGTAAGAGAAAGCACAAGTAATAGCAAATTATGAATTGTGATGATTAATCTTCTGTTAACATACATAGGAAACTCAACCACCAAGAGAGAACAAAATAGGGAATGTTGAGGTAGAAGCAACAGGCCCTTCAGTGCATCAGGTGAGGTTGGAATTTTGTAGGTATGCATGGGACTATGAATTGTTTTTAGAGATTGATCGTATATGTCAAACAATGTAGTGAGCTACTCACTGTAGATTCTAATTCAATATTTTCTCCTCTGTTTTTATTTATTATAGGAAATTGAAAGATCAGAGCATGATTTATTTCAAGTATCGAGAGCAGTTCCTGAACTGTTAGAGCCTCAGGTGAGGGCTATTATGTAGATTTGGATTAGGTTTAAGTCAGTATAGAATGAACGCAACACAAAACTCAGAAGCTCTGATCCAATTGATTTTGTTTTAACTATTAGAAAAAATCCTTAACTGCTTCTCATTCAGTCTACAGCTGAGTTTAGTATAGAAGGCAACACACTATTGCAAATATAGTGTGTGATTACACAACAAATTCTGGGGGAGAAACTCTGGATCCCGTGTCAATGGGTGTAGACTCAGGTCGTAGTGAATGTCCCCACCAAGATTGGAACCAAACCTACACCATTGCATCCCGATATAAATCCTCGTTTTAGTCTTTGTTTTGTCATTAATGATTTGAGAGTCATAACAAGACCTTTTTTAGTTCTGCGCCACATGTTATTTTACCACTGAGATTAATGAGCCGCGAGGAGTTCTGGCAACCCGATCAGGGACTTACATGACACTTCCTGATTGGCGAAACGGCGGAGGGTAGGACATCAAAATCAAAAGTATAACAACTTTTACGGGTCGTAAAACTAATTTTGATAATCAAATATCTCGGCTGAACTACTGTTATCAGTTAAAGATGAATTCGAAAAGACTATGATTTAATAACGCCTTTTGAAATATTCGGGTCATTTAATGATGACTTGACATGCAAATATTACATATTGCTCCTTTAAAACCAATAGAATCATTATACAAACGGACAATAAAAGCACTGGACAAAAACCCATACAATATCATCACTGCAATATTCTTCAAAAGCACAGGCTTTAAACTGGGACAATCTCATTAAGTATTCAAATCTCTGTTTAACATATAAAATAATCCACAATCAGTCATCTCCTCCACTCAGTCAGTTTGTCCACATAAGGAACACCGCTGTGTCTCAGAGGGGAACCAGAGGAGCAGCATGAGGGTAACCAGAGGGGAACCAGAGGGGAACCAGAGGGGAACCAGAGGGGCAGCACGAGGGGAACCAGAGGGGCAGCACGAAGGGAACCAGAGGGGAACCAGAGGGGCAGCACGAGGGGAACCAGAGGGGCAGCACGAGGGGAACCAGAGGGGCAGCACGAAGGGAACCAGAGGGGAACCAGAGGGGCAGCACGAGGGGACTGCCTGGTTCCTCTGGGACGGAGCGCCTTCAGTCAGAGCCTTCTCTGTGACCGCAGCCAGAGACTGGAACTCCATCCCAGCGAACATCAGAGATATCTAACCATACTCACTATTTAAATTACATCTGAAAAACTTGTTAATAACACAGCAGACATGTAACCATTAGTCCAGGCAATTTACTCATTGCTTTGTAAATATCTTTTGTATGTGAAGTTGAACTGTGTTTTATTGTATGATATATGTGTTCTTGTTCTCCCCGACTGCATGTGTTTTCTGTATTTTATTATTGTTTGACTTTTATCTTTAGGGAGACTATGTACACCTGTCCAGGGACTGCAGATGAAAAATAGCCTGCTTGGCTAATTCTGGTGCATTTACAGTAATGTTTTAATAATGCACAATGTCCCTGTCAACTAAACTAATACAATTAATAAATAAACAATAAACATTAGTGTTATCACAATGATCCTTTATATAGTACTATCCTTGTGGAAACTTTATTACAAACCAAATAGAATGTTATTAATACACAGATTTATATTTGCACTATCCATTTGGGGACTTCATACACTCACATGTTTCTGGACATGACCTTATATGGTGTACAGAGTGCAGACTGGATTGATCCACAGGTTTAGAGAAATCTAGGGTGTGGACAGAGGTTAGTCCATAGATCTAGAGTCAAGGTTTGGGACTGGGACTGGTTCACAGGTCTAGAGTCCAGGGTGTAGACTCCCAGTCTGATCTTCTGGTCTCCTCATCGGGTGTAAGAAACTGAGGGACCATGAGTTAATAGCAATGTTCAGACAAGTAAAAGTGGAACTTGACACAGATGTCAGACAAAAATAGGAAAGAAGAGAACAGCTCTATTTATCCTGCAGCCTGTGGATGTGTGACGAGTGAATAAAACTGTTGTTTATGTACACAAATACACAGTGAACTAGAAACAGTGATTATTGTAATTTAAAGTAAGTGATCATAGTGGTCCTTTTTACAGTAGCATCCTTGTGGGGCCCTTATTATACACTAAATATAATGTTATAAATAAACAGATTTGTATTGTACTATCCATGTGGACTTCACGTTTTCCAGGACATGTAGATCAGCAGTAGCAGGACTTGACCACTAGGGTGAACACACTTCTCAGCCTGATACAGGAAATGACAGGTGTGAGCACAGAGCTGAGGACAGCAGACTGTAAGAGAGCAGCACACACTGAGAGGATCTGAGCTTTAAGATGGAGTGTGTCCTGTGTCCACTGCTCTCAGCTCTGCTTGTGCTGCTGAGTTCTTCTCCAGAGTGTAACGGACAAGACACAGTGAAGCAGGCAGCAGGAGAGGCCCGAGTGAGAGAGGGACACACTCACACACTCACCTGCAACTTTACAACCACTGATCGCTTCCCAGATCTATTCTGGTACAAGCAGGAAGGACAAGGAGCTCCAAAGTACATGATGTGGCGATACAAAGGTGGATCATGGCATAATTCTCCAGAGTTTGATGAATCCAAGTTTGGTGCTGAGCTCGTGGGGAACTCTTTGTCTCTGAAGATGGAGGCTGTGGATGTGACTGACTCTGCTGTGTACTACTGTGCTCTGCGGCCCACACTGACAGGAAACACCAACACTCTGAACAAAAACCTCTGCAGCAAAGACAACACAATAATGCAGTGTCTCCACTAGAGGGCGACACTCTCTCAGCAGATCTACAGAGTTCACATGAGGAATACTCAGCTGAGCTCTTTCGCATCATTTTGAGACTGTTCTAACTTATAAAAGCACTTCATGAAAAGTCTGGTAGATTATTCCTGGTTTGAAGACGGATCAGACACTTAAAGTGACCAAAAGCAGAGAAACCATAAGACCATAACCACTCATAACGAGGACAAGGTAGAGAGTGTTCAGTATCAGCCCCATGTGATGTACCATTCATATAAAGTATAGACTGGGATTCTTCCACAGCTCTAGAGAAGTCCAGGGTGCAGACTCGGACTGTTTTTTTGGGTCTCAATTCAGTTCAATTTATTTCTGTATAGCCTTAAGTCTCAACTGCATTCGTCTCAGTGGACTTTACAGAGTTGTCAATTCCTCAACACAAGATCAAAGACTTAAACAGTCTAATGATTGTGTGCATGAATCAGACTGAGGGGCAGTTCACTTTATTTCTCCACTAGAGGGCGACACTCTCTGTGAGACTCAGACGCTGAAAAACCAACTGTCAGTGTGAGAAACTCAGCAGATCCACAGAGTTCACATGACGATCACTCAGCTCAGCTCTTTCTGGAACATTTAAACAGTGCTTTTGTAGTAGATAATCTACTCCCCCTTGGACTGCCACCTTAACGTGGTGGGGGAGTTTGAGCACTCGGATGATCCTGGGAGCTATGCTGTCTGGGGCTTCATGCCCCTGGTAGGGTCTCCCATGGCAGACAGGTCTCAAGTGACGAGTCAGACGAAGCGCAGTCCGAAGCCAACCATGGACAGCACGACAACGAAAACCGTGACGTCGCCCGGCATGGCGCAGCCGGGGCCCCACCCTGGAGCCAGGCCTGGGGTCGGGGCTTGTAAGCGAGCGCCTGATGGCCGGGCCTTAGCCCACGGGGCCCGGCCGGGCTCAGCCCGAAGGGATGACGTGGGCAGTCCCTCCTGTGGGCCCACCACCTGCAGAGGGGTCCGTGGTGGCGTGGTGCAGCGAGGACTGGGTAGCAGTCGAAGGCGGAGACCTCGACGACCCAGTCCACACACCCAACATCTGGCTCTTGGGACGTGGAACGTCACCTCACTGGGGGGGAAGGAGCCCGAGCTTGTGGGGGAGGTTGAGCGATACCGACTAGAGATAGTCGGCCTCACCTCCACACACAGCTTGGGCTCTGGAACCCAACTTCTTGAGAGGGGTTGGACGCTCCACTTTTCTGGTGTTTCCCGTGGGGAGAGGCGGCGAGCTGGGGTGGCCATACTCATTGCCCCCCATCTCAGCCGCCACGTGTTGGAGTTCTCCCCGGTGAATGAGAGGGTCGCGTCCCTCCGCCTCCGGGTGGGGGACAAGTCTCTCACTGTTGTGACGGCCTACGGGCCTAACGGTAGTGCAGAGTACCCGGCCTTCTTGGAGTCCTTGGGAGGGGTACTGGACAGTGCACCGCCCGGGGACTCCGTTATTCTCCTGGGGGACTTCAACGCCCATGTGGGAAATGCCAGTGACACTTGGAGAGGGGTGATCGGGAAGAACGGCCCCCCTGATCTGAACCCGAGCGGTGTTCAGTTGTTGGACTTCTGTGCCAGTCACGGCCTGTCCATCACGAACACCATGTTCGAGCACAAGGGTGTCCATCAGTGCACGTGGCACCAGGACACCCTAGGCCGGAGGTTGATGATCGACTTTGTTGTCGTATCATCTGACCTTCGACCGCGTGTCTCGGACACTCGGGTGAAGAGAGGGGCGGAGCTGTCAACCGATCATCACCTGGTCGTGAGTTGGATCCGCTGGCAGGGCAGGAGGCCGGTCAGACCTGGCAGGCCCAAGCGTGTAGTGAGGGTTTGCTGGGAACGTCTTGCTGAGCCCCCTGTCAGACGGACTTTCAACTCACACCTCCGGGAGAGCTTCTCCCAGGTCCCGGCAGAGGAGGGGGACATCGAGTCCGAGTGGACCATGTTCTCTTCCTCTATCGCCAATGCGGCGGCTCGTAGCTGTGGTCGCAAGGTCTCTGGTGCTGGTCCCGGCGGCAATCCCCGAACCCGGTGGTGGACACCGGCAGTAAGGGATGCCGTCAGGCTGAAGAAGGAGTCCTATCGAGCAATGATGGTTCGTGGGACTCCCGAGGCAGCTGTCCAGTACCGGCAGGCCAAACGTGCCGCGGCCCGGGCTGTTGCAGAGGCAAAAACCCGGGACTGGGAGGAGTTCGGAGAGTCCATGGAGCATGACTATCGGTCGGCCTCGAAGAGGTTCTGGCAAACTGTCCGGCGCCTCAGGAGGGGGAAGCAGTTCTTTGCCAACACCGTGTATGGTGCGGGTGGAGGGCTGCTGACCTCGACTGAGGATATTGTCGGGCGGTGGAAGGAATACTTCGAGGTTCTCCTCAATCCCCCCTTCACGTCCTCCGTCCAGGAGGCAGAGGCTGAGGATGTTGGGGCGGACACTTCCATCTCCCTGGCCGAGGTCACCAAGGTGGTTGGCAGCCTCCATGGTGGCAAGGCGCCGGGAGTGGATGAGATCCGTCCTGACTATCTAAAGTCTCTGGATGTTGTAGGACTGTCTTGGCTGACACGTCTCTGCAGCATCGCGTGGCGATTGGGGGCGGTGCCAATGGAGTGGCAGACCGGGGTGGTGGTCCCTCTCTACAAGAAGGGGGACCGGAGGGTGTGTTCCAATTATCGTGGGATCACACTCCTCAGCCTCCCCGGTAAGGTCTACTCCAAGGTACTGGAGAGGAGGCTACGTCCGATGGTCGAATCTCGGATTCAGGAGGAGCAGTGTGGTTTTCGTCCCGGTCGCGGAACACTGGACCAGCTCTATACTCTCCATCGGATACTCGAGGGTTCATGGGAGTTCGCCCAACCTGTCCACATGTGCTTTGTGGATTTGGAGAAGGCGTTCGACCGTGTTCCCCGGGGTGTCCTTTGGGGGGTCCTCCGGGAGTACGGGGTCCGGGGTCCTCTGCTGAGGGCCGTCCGGTCCCTGTATGACCGGAGTCAGAGCTGTGTTCGCATTGCCGGCAGTAAGTCAGACCTGTTCCCGGTGCATGTTGGCCTCCGCCAAGGCTGCCCTTTGTCACCGGTTCTGTTCACTGTATTTATGGACAGAATTTCTAGGCGCAGCCAGGGCCGGAGGGGGTCCGGTTCGGGAACCACAGGATTTCATCTCTACTTTTTGCGGATGATGTCGTCCTGCTGGCTCCAACGAACCAGGACCTGCAGCATGCACTGGGACGGTTTGCAGCCGAGTGCGAAGCGGCTGGGATGAGAATCAGCACCTCCAAATCCGAGGCCATGGTGCTCGACCGGAAAAAGGTGCCTTGCCCTCTCCAGGTGGATGGAGAGGTCCTTCCTCAAGTGGAGGAGTTCAAGTATCTCGGGGTCTTGTTCACGAGTGAGGGAAGGATGGAGCGTGAGATTGACAGGCCGATCGGTGCAGCGTGCGCAGTGATGCGGTCTCTGTATCGGACCGTTGTGGTGAAGAGGGAGCTGAGCCGAAAGGCGAAGCTCTCGATTTACCGGTCAATCTTCGTTCCCTCCCTCACCTATGGTCATGAGCTGTGGGTAATGACCGAAAGAACGAGATCGCGGATACAAGCGGTCGAAATGAGCTTCCTCCGCAGAGTGGCTGGGCGCTCCCTTAGAGATAGGGTGAGGAGCTCAGTCACACGGGAGGAGCTCGGAGTAGAGCCGCTGCTTCTCCACGTTGAGAGGAACCAGTTGAGGTGGCTCGGGCATCTGTTCAGGATGCCTCCTGGACGCCTTCCTGGGGAGGTGTTCCGGGCACGTCCCACCGGGAGGAGGCCCCGGGGAAGACCCAGGACACGCTGGAGAGACTATGTCTCTCAGCTGGCCTGGGAACGCCTTGGAGTCCCCCCGGACGAGCTGGAGGAGGTGTGTGTGGATAGGGAAGTCTGGGCGTCTCTGCTTAGACTGCTGCCCCCGCGACCCGGCAACGGATAAAGCGGAAGAAAATGGATGGATGGATAATCTACTGTAACTGGATTTCCCTCCCGCACAAACCAGTGATTAGCGAAATGGAAGCTAGGACTCTGTTTACATAAAAAGAAGGTTTAATGTATATAAGCAGAATACAGACAAATTACAGACTAACAACTATAGCCCGGGTCCTGCTAGGATGGAATAGCAGAATGACAAAGAATGAAGGAGACGCTGCTCCTTATAGTAGCAGAGGAGCGCTATGGGTTGGTCAAGTCACAGGATGTCGTAAATATATGTGTCATTCTATTATCTTGTAGACCAGTCCTGGTTAAACTCCGTATCTCTGAGTCGGACTTCCCTGAGGGTCTCACTACAGGCTTTTATTGTCCTTCCAGATGTCCACAGCCCCATTGACCCCAGAGAAGGGTCGAGTCAGCTGTCTCTGCTATTGTGCCCAAATGTCAAAAGACACAATTATAACAAACCATGCATCCACAGGACATTGTATGTAGTCTAATGACTCAGATGCTTCCGAGATGCCGATGGGGGTCCTTCTGTCTTTCTAAACGTCATGTTGGCCTATGATTTAGATAAGTGATTTCCTGCCATTGAGTGCTGACATTGTCCCAAACACAATTTTACACATATGAAGATACATTAATATAATAGAAGTTATAATAGCAGACACCACACTTTCTTTGTAGGGACTTATTAGACACCAATTATATTGGTTCTTAATACACTGTTTATGTTTAACCACATGTGTATCCATGTGGGGACACACATTTTCCTGTACATGTTCTTTTGTGGAGTTTGCAGTAGCAGCACTTGACCACTAGGGTAAACACACTTCTCAGCCTGATACAGGAAATGACAGGTGTGAGCACAGAGCTGAGGACAGCAGACTGTAAGAGAGCAGCACACACTGAGAGGATCTGAGCTTTAAGATGGAGTGTGTCCTGTGTCCACTGCTCTCAGCTCTGCTTGTGCTGCTGAGTTCTTCTCCAGAGTGTAACGGACAATACACAGTGAAGCAGGCAGCAGGAGAGGAC